TTTCAGTTTAATCGTAGTAATTCAGGGTTCAAGTAAACGAGGAGACCGGTAGCAAAATACGCGAAGTCGAAAAGAATGAAAGTGACGTTTAATACCACGCGTAACGCGGGTACTTTTGCGTTAAATAAACGGTTCACGGTTTACGTCTTGAAATAGTGGAAGGAGGCGACTCACGTTCTAATTCATAGCATTACGTCCTAAGCCCGATATTACCGCGTACCTTTGCTATTAATTAATATGAAAAATAAAAATTATTTTGTTTATGAATGAATTTTAACGATTGAATATGAGAAGCAAGGAGCAAAAGATTTTCAACAGGAGATATCAAGCCAGGCTTTCAAACAATGAATGTTTTCTCATATTTATCAAGAAAAAATAAGGCTTAACATTTCCCATTACTAGCTCAGTGGTTACGCTAAACTTGATGGGCATAGCACAAATAACCTACTGTGTAGCTTGTGTTTAACAGAGGACCTTCATTATGAAAATGTACATCTTATTTAAAGACATTTGGAATCAACGCATTTTCTGAAATACCACTACTTTATATAATGTTACAAAGAATTGAAAGTTTACAATCATTTGAGAGAAGTGAGAATAAGAATACATTTTATAACTTGAAACAGAAAAAAGCAAAATTATTGAAGAAGTTAAAACTGAAAATTATTACAAAATGGCGCAACAGAGGTATTCTGTACACGTCAAATAAGAAACGATGAACGGCTTTAGAATTACTCACAATTAATGATAAGGACAAATATATATACAATACTAGCTGAATTACCCGTTCCCTGTACAGGTGTACAAATTACTTGAAATAGCTCAGCTGGCAGTGACTGGTAAAGTACTGAAAATATTTACTTGAGTAAAAGTACTGTTACTTAAGAAATTATTCACTCAAGTAAAAAGTAAAAGTTTGTTTGTTTGAAGTTAAGCACAAAGCTACACAATGGGCTATCTGTACTCTGCCTACTACGGGTATCGAAACCCGGTTTCTAGCGTTGTGAGTCCGCAGACATATCGCTGTGCCACTGGGGGGCAAAGGTAAAAGTACCTTTTGTTGATGACTACTAGTAAAAGTGAAAAGTGCCGAATATATACAGCACTTAAGTAGCAATAAAGTGAAAAGTAACGACAAAAAATTAGTAATGATAGCATTATTAAAAATAGTCTACATTCGACTTAAATTCACACATAAAAGGCACTAACAAATATAAACTCAATAAACTTTATTATATTTTTATTAAAACAATCAGTATTACTGTATATGATACAGCTCTTCACACACTCCACTTATTATTTAGCTTCGGCAGCAGCTGATTTTCAAAGTTCCTACTAAACAGATTAGCTTCTCTCGGTGTGAACAAGAGTCCTACAGGACTAAACAAATGCTTGCACGCTGCAGAAGCAGGCAAGGGGATGTTTGCAATAATTGAAGCCTTTAGGATAGATGGTAAACTTTCCAGAATCTCCATAGTGACTGAGGTGTTTGCCAAGGTACCCATCTAACTCTCTGGTCTCATTACACTGGTCGACAAAGTCGAACTTTTTCTTTCATTAAAGATGTAAACACACTTTTCTAGCCCAGTTTTGCATGCTGATTCCAAATCTATTTTCGGGTTTCGTCTAGCACGTCCAGTTATCGAAATATGGCTGGTGTTAATTTAAGCACGATTTAGGTAATGATCGCACATTAGGCCAGTTAACGTCACAACTTTATTCATTTTTCAGTATATTTCCCATAAACAATATACACACCATACAATTGGTTAAATTTATACAGTACACACTTAAGAAAAAAAAATGTACAACAACTTAGATTATAATTAAGGCAATAACCTTTCAAATTTGATTGGTCTCGTCACGAAAACTGGACGTGGTAGAGGAAAACCAAAAACAGATTTGGAATCAGCGTCTCCTGAGCTATCTAAACCACCTATAATTATATCTGACGAAAATGACTTCTTGGCCAGTGTTATTGGTACAGGTCTTCAGAGACGAAAATAAAACATCATCATCTGATGAGCTGTTGTGGGGATCCCGATCCAAAATGTCTGTCGATTCTTTCTTTCGCTGTCTGATGTACTTCAGACCTGACAGAAATAACATCTGTATTTGGGGAGAATACGCATTACAGAGTTCAATACTACACAATAAACGTGACGCAGAAACTGTATTTACTAATAGTAGGGATTTGATAACCAGGAATTTTAATAAAATCTCTCTTTGGGCGGGTTAGGCTACATTAGCATTATTCATTTTTGTAAAGTAAATTGGTATTACTATAAAACAAATGCATGCTTTTGAACTGCTAAGAATCCTAATAGCAAAAAAATATAGTACACATTTTCATTACCAGTGAGCAATGACATGTTAAAAAAAGAAGTAAAAAAGAAAGTAGGATCAGATTCCCTAACCTTTTTTGGTGATTATATCATCGTTGATCCATGCAGCAACGATCAGCTCTGCATCCTACATCAAATAGGTATTTAAAAACACAATGAAAAAAATTACTTTTATGAACATTTATTTAAAAATTCCAATTTTCATAACATTTTGATTTTTTATCTAAACCTTTGATTTTCAAAACAAAAACTACACAATCTAAATTAAAGCTTCTTGATATAACACATTGACTGTTGTTCTTTCTTCTGACAATATAAACATGTTTTGATGAGATCCAACATTATTGGTGAAACAACCTTTAAGTTCAGAATGTGTCTTGGCATCTCTGGTGGTTCAAGAGAATTTAGGAATTCAGTTGGGTAAGTTACAGCATTATCTGTAACTGGAACACTGACAATTAATCTGTAAGTGAATTCCTGTCCTGGAACCTTTTGCAATAATTAATCAACTATATCATGAACAGTATCAGTTCGAGATGCAAGAATTGCTCTTTTACACAGTCATTTATAATTTTAATGAATATTAGGGAACGCTTTTTCCTTTACCTCTTCTGCATCCTTAAGTAAGTTACCACATTTGTTTGGAATAGTAATATATTTGTTTGATTGATTGAATGGAAACTTCCCAGCACTAATTTAAGAAGAAGTTTCTACATTAAACCGTTTCCTTTTATATCACGGAAGTTATTAAAAACAGATAACGTAAAAATAAACCTCCAAGTAATATGTATATTACGCGTTCAACATAAACAACACTGTTGGCCAACAACAATATTGTCATGGTTCTGTTCTTAGGAGACGATGTATGTTTTTGAGTATTACCAAAAGACAGAAACTAAATTAAAATCCAAATATTAGTTTTAGGTTACTAAATAAAAGTTTTTGTGGGAAACCTGGTGAGAATTTTGCCCCGTCATGGTACTTCTGGAGACCGTAGGAGTCACCATGCCAAGTTTGGTGGTGCTTGGTCAAATAGTGTGCCAGGAATTAGCGGTTTGTTTCTTTGTTACGAATTTCGCGCAAAGCTACACGAGGACTATCTGCGCTAGCCATCCATAACTTAGCAGTGTAACACTAGAGGGAAGGCAGGTAGTCATTACCACCCACCGCCAACTCTTGGGCTACTCTTCCACCAACGAATA